ACTTCCTTTTGTCCCCTACATACCTATAGAAGCATTCCTTATTGCTTTTTATATCCCTTGCCAAATTCAATTCCTTCAGGGCTTTAGCCTTCCTCACCTGATCCCTGGTCACTCGTACAGCTTCTCTGTATTCCTCCCAGGCTATCTGTCTCCGCTTCCACCCTCTGTAGGCTAACCTCTTCATTTTCAGTTGGTCCAGGAGCTCCTTGCTCATCCACGCAGGCTTCCTGGTCTTTTTGCCCGACTTGTTCTTCATCGGGATGCACCTCTGCTGAGCTTGGAGGAGGTGCTCCTTGAATGTGGACCAACTTTCCTGGGCCCCTCGTCCCTCCAGGGCCGCCTCCCACGGCACTTTGCCCATCAGGTCCTTGAAGAGGCCGAAGTCCTCCTTCTTGAAGTCTAGGGTACAGAGCTTGCTGAATGGTTTCCTTGCTGCCCCATGGATCTTGAACTCCACCGTGTCGTGGTCACTGCAGCCAAGGCTGTCCTTAAGTTTCACATCGCCCACCAGTCCCTCCCTGTTGGTGAGCACAAGGTCAAGCATGGCACCCCTCCTTGTCGGCTCCTCTATCACCTGCAGGAGGAAGTTGTCGTCCACGCATTCCAGGAACCTCCTGGACTGCCTGTGCCCTGCCGTATTGTCTCTCCAACAGACGTCAGGGTGGTTGAAGTCCCCCATGAGGACCAGGGCTTGTGACCGCGAATGTAATCAAACTGTATAGTAGTTGTTCTCACAAAGGAAGAAGGTTGTATTTTAAACATATAAATACAGAATTAACTAACAGTCCTATTCTCATCAAATGTCTAGGTAGCCACACTAAACTGTAAAAAAAACCTTAGAAATTTTCTATTCAAAGTTTGACTTTTTTTTATTAAAACTGTTTAGAATTTCTGTAAGAGTGAGAATTGGAACAAGATGAAGGCTTTCTACAGGATACAGCTTTAATTGAAGGGATTCCCCTACTTTTCTGTGCAATCTATTGCAATGTTGGATTATTCTCATGAGGAGGTTTTTTCTTATGCCTGCATGGATTTTCTGAAGTTATTTGTGTCCATTTCGTTTTGTCATGTCACCATTTATCCTTGTGAAGAGAGTATCTCTATCTTCTCTGTAACTACCTATTAAGTATTGCAAGGCTGATTAGATCCCCTAAACCTTCTATTCTTTTGGCTGAGCAAACACAATTCCTTCAGACTTTCTTCACGTCTCAAGTTCTCCAACGATCTTATCATCTTGGTGGCCCTCTGTGGGCCCCTTCACTTTGTCAATGTCTCTCTTGAAATGGAGAAACTCAAATGGGACAAAGTGGTCCAGGTGTGGCAGAGTGAAATCATACCATCCCTTGATCTGCTGACTATAGTTTAACTGATGCAGCCCAGGACATGGCTTGCCTTCATTGTTGCTACAGGACAACTGTCAACTCATGTTCAGCTTACTGTCTACCAGTACTTCCAGTATTTTCCAGTATTTTAACAGTATTTTACTGTTTTCTTGTTTGTATTGTCTCATATAAGATGTGCCATTAGCAAGAAAATGAATAGAATATCACTAGAGTCACAGATGTAGAGGCAAACAGTCATTAGTGTCAAAAAAAAGGAGATGCTAATTTATTTACATGCTTCATGGCACAATGTGCTCAGTAGCTTGGTTCTTATTAGCTCATTTCAGCACAGAATTGACTAACTTGTTCAGTCTTGAATTGTATGTTGTGTTGAAAAGTTGTGTCATAATATTTCTATATTATATGTGTTATATAATATTTCTATAGTGTATTTCAGGAGTCTTAAGAAAACTGGTAAATATTGTGACAGTCTGATGATCAAGATGGGCCTGAATGGATGTTCTTTATCTAGTTTTGAGAAAAAAGAAGTGGCCTTAGAGGGCTTAAAATCTAAGTCTAGATTTTAGGTTTATGGCTTTGGTCATTATAAGTGGAAAGAAGGTTCTCTGGCAGGGAGTTGCTTTCAATTACAAATTACAAATAAACTTTGAAGTTAAAAAAAAAAAAAAAGGAAAAGCTCTCCTGTCGGAGTCGACGGGAGACAAACACATCCGATGATGATCAGTAAGTCTCGTTTATTGCGCAGTTCTTATGGCTTATATAGACAGTATTTGCCAATAATCCTGAGACCACACCTTTTCTACACCATTTTTGGATGATACCTATGCTTGTCATATTTAACAGCTTATTTCAAACAGACACCCGCCTGGCGAAGCTCTGCTCTAAGCAAACACTACTCCCTTATCATACTGCATAGTTCTCTTATCCTTAACTTCAAAGGAGTTCTGCCCTTGAGGCCTAACTTTCGAGCTCCAGTCTTTATTTACACAGGGTTTTCTTCGTGCAGTCTCTTCAAGGATTTGCACTCCAACAATTCCCCCATTCTTTTCTTGCATGAAGAGAACCCTACGCACAAGGCTGGCAGCTCCAGTTACTAGCATATTGTTTTGGTACAGTCTTGCAAAAGCAGTTTCTAGCATACTACTTCCCTTTCCGAGGGCTTTGCTATTTCCGCTATATCCAAGATTCCACTGAGCAGGAGGGTGTCCGTCGGTGGGGTCGTCGCGGAGAAGAGAGGCAGGCAGGGCACCTTCAGGGCGTCCCCTGTTTATCCACACAGTGTGCTCTGCAGCCTCCTTCCGCTCCACTCTGAGCCATCCCTTTTACACCCTCAACAGAGTCTATGAAAAAGGTACTGACACGGCGTTGCTGCACGCGTGGCCAGTGCGTGCAACAAGGCCGCCAGGTATGTGCTCTGCTGGCCAACAGCAGATTTTTTAAGTTGTAACATATTTCTCCTAGCTTCCTTTTTCAAAGTTACATGCTCACAACTAAGTCTAGTTTGTAATTCTTTGTCATTGATTCGGTACCAGTTAACACTTCTCCTTCCAGTAGCTCACTTCTGATTGGAAAAACACACAAAGCATATATACAAGCAATATATACAAACAACTTTCACACACGTAATATATTAAATCATAAGAAACATAAAGACAGTTTACATATCAATATACAATCCTCTACCACAATTCTCCCCGAATGCTCCCCAAGCCATTGCAACTGTTCGGGGTTGGACTCACTATGGTCACTTAAATTAAAACAACACATGCCTTCAAATTCTTCACAGCCGTGTCTTTAAGCTAATAGCAAATAGTCTATGGCAGCTCTATTTTGCAGCACAGCATGATTCACATTTTGCACATCAGTAGTAAGCATATCTAATATTTCTGACGTTCTATTGAGCTCGGCTTTAGCCCAGCATCCTAGCTCTTTTGCTAAGTATAGAGCTCTGCTAGCAGCAGCCCCTGGCGAAATGGTCGATACAATGATTTGGTTTAGTTCACTCCAAAAATGAGGAGATCCTATTTGCGAGCAATCGAGCTCATGAACGCTACGTTTTGTTCGTGTGTTATTTTGGCTCCATTGCATTAATAGCGATATGTTAGGGTGAAATAATGATAACTTTCCTAAATAGCATGGACCCCCCCTGCGGTCGCACTGGTATACCATTCCAGGCTCTGTCTCCACAAATTAAAAATATCCCCTTTGGGAGCTTTAGGGGAGAAGTGATATTACTACCATTGCAGCTGGAATGCAACTGCAACCATACCGCGTTTGACTCAAGGGAAGAGTCTAGGGTGGCCCATAGGTTTCTATTTTTGTTAAGATTTTCACCGTCAATGGGGAGAAAACTAAGATTCAAAAAGTTGTAGGGCAGGCCTTGTGCCTAGCCTTGTTTGACTTTGCAACTCCCTTTGCCAATTATCTGCATGGTAGTAGTGTGTGCAGCTATTGCACCATAGCTCTCGAATCTGGCTGCACACGAGGAACTGGTACAGACAAGACAATTTTTCCCGGGTGGCCCCTGAACACCGGAGTCCTGTAATTCCCTGACAGTGTCCTCAAGTTCTCCAAGAGTGCGAGGATGTTTCACTACTTTATCAATAGTGTTTGAATAATGTCCTATCTGTTGCAGGAGAGGCTTTGAAATGATAAGGAGCTTTTCTTCAATCCTCTGATTGTCTTCTTTCACTAATTCCGGGAACGTTCGTAGCATCGAGGACGGGCTTAGTCCATCTCGCTGGTACCCATACCGTCCCTGTAGGGGTAGAAACACAAAGATATCCCCGTCCCCAAAAGAATACTCTGGCCAGTTCCTGCCATAGTCCAGTCTTTGGGTCACGGAATTTTACCGATGTCTCCTTTCCTTCTGTTTTAGTTTTCGTGGGACCATAATGGATGAGAGCAGGAGGCTGTTCTGACTCCCCGAATACACACAAATGATTAATGACAAATAATCCTTTTAACAATTTCGCATGGGGATCCCTAATGTTTTCATATTTAGATAGGTACCTCCTTAGCGTACCATTTGCCCTCTCTATTATGGCCTGTCCTGTTGGAGAATTTGGGTTTCCAGTGCTATGTTCAACCCCCCGTGATCTTAGGAACTGTTCTATTCTCTTGCTAGTATAGGCGGGTCCATTATCTGTTTTTATCTCTTTTGGAGTCCCCATTACTGCAAAGCAACTGTAAAGGTGCCGTTCTACATGGATGCCTTTTTCTCCTGTTTGCGCTGTTGCCCAGATAAACTTGCTGTAAGTGTCTATGGTTACATGTACATATTTTAAACGCCCAAAACTGGATACATGAGTAATGTCCATCTGCCGAACTTCATTTGCAGCCAATCCTCGTGGGTTTACACCTAATCCTAACCCACAGCCCCCATTGTGATGACTGCAGATAGGGCAGGCCCTGACTATTGCTTTTGCCTCCGTTATAGGAATTTGAAATTCTTTCCATAAACCTCTGGCATTCTGATGGAACATAGAGTGAGCTTCCCTGGCTAGCATTTGTTTTGATAACGGCGTGGCCTGGGCTATTGCCACTAATTTGTCTGCTCTAGCATTGCCTTCGCCTAAACCAATTTCCCATTTATGGCTTCTAATGTGGATGACAGCATAAGCGTGTTCCCTAAGCTTCGTAGCCTTTTGAAGTTGTAGGAGCAGTTCAAACAATCGTGGGTTTTGGACTTCTTTGATCGAGGCCTCTTCAATTCTTTCCACTATACCAGCGACGTACAGCGAATCGGTAACTATATTTAGTGGTCCTTTCGAGTTCCACATAGCCCACACCACAGCAAGATGTTCCATAGTCTGCAAGGTGTCTGTTTCTTTTCCATGCAAGATTTTATGTTTCCATGCATCCTTCTCCTGCCATGTTATCGCTGCTGTTCGAGATTTCCTTCCAGCATCGGTGTACGCCGTCAAAGCATTTTGGATGGGAACGCTTTCCTTCTTGGGTCGTGTAATCCAGTCCCAACTCTCAATCCACTGTAATGGTGCGTGTTTCGGCTTCTCTAATTTAATAATACCGCTTGCACCTAAGAGTGCTTCTTGCAATTCCTCACTGTTATTTATGTACCACTGGAAGGAGTCCCTTTTCACTGGTATCCTCAAAGTGTGAGGTTCTGCGCCAGTTATTTGCAAGGTTCTCTCGCACCCCTTCTTTATTAAGTCTGCCAACATTTCAACTTTCTGCACAAGAGTTTTAGTTTGCTGTAATGCGGGAGAAATCCATTCCAACACCCATAGCTCCTCCCCCGTTTTCTTTTGGCACGTTTGAGTTAAGGCACCAAGGAGATATTTGGTATTGCACCATACTGTAAGGTCTATAGGTAAAGCAGGGTCTTGTCGGCATACTTGCCCTTGTGTTACACAGTTTGTAATTTGCTGAAGAGCACGCCGTTGTTCCGGCGAGATCTGTATCGGTTGCGTGGGGTCAGACCCTTTTAACAGTGGCCGTAATTCATCTAATAGCTCATTCGGTATACCGACTACAGGCTTTAACCATTGGAGGTCGCCTAGCAGTTTTTGAGCATCATTTAATGTCGAGAGGCGTGTATGCAGCTGTAACTTTTGTGGTGTCACTATTTGCTCGGATAGCTTCCATCCCAAGTACTTCCATGGGACTGTTCGCTGCACTTTTTCCGGTGCTATTATGAGATGAAACCGGGCCAATGTTTCTTGAATGTTCGTCACTTGAGCATCTGAGAATGGTGTTGGTTGGGCGAATAGAATATCGTCCATATAACGATAAATGACTGTATTAGTCCATTATCGTCGGAGGGGTTGTAGGGCAGAGTCGACATATAACTGGCACAATGTGGGGCTATTGCGCATGCCTTGCGGTAACAGTGTCCACTCAAAATGTTGATCAGGCCCTTCCCTGTTTAAGGCAGGTAGGGTGAAGGCAAATCTTTTGGTGTCTTTAGGATGCAGTGCAATAGTGAAGAAACAATCTTTCAAATCAATAATTAATAATGGCCACTCCACAGGGATCATTGCAGGATTGGGCAAGCCGGGTTGCAGAGCGCCCATAGGCTCCATTTGCTCATTAACGGCACGCAAATCATACAACAAGCGATATTTTCCTGACTTTTTCCAAATAACAAATATTGGAGTGTTCCACGGACTTGTTGAAAGTTTTAAGTGTCCTTGTTTGAACTGCTCATTCACGAGTTCATGAGCGTGTTGCAGACTTTCCCGTTTTAGCGGCCATTGTTTAACCCATACTGGCGTGTCTGTTTTCCAAGTAATAGGGATTGGGAAAGTCCATACAATGGCCATTATGCTAAAGGGTGCTCATTAGTTAAGACTACTCCCAGCTGAGACAATATATCTCGTCCAATGAGGCATTGTATCGTGGGTGGCAGTTGAACCACAGAAAAGCTGGCAGTTAGACACTTTCTTTCAACTCTGACCGTGAGGGTCGGTGAACGACTGGCTAAAGTTAATCCTCCGACTCCGGTCACCATTGCTGCTGCAGGCTGTAAAGGCCAGTGTTTAGGCCAGCAGGCAGGGCTGATAATACTAGAGTCTGCGCCCGTATCTAGTAGACCTAGAAGGGACCGCTTTTGATGCTGATACTCCACTTCTATTCTCTGTCGAGGCCTATCATTAAGATTCAAAGTCAACAAAGCAAGGCCGCCGGTTGATCCGAAACCTTCCACGCCTCTTTGTCCACTCGTTGTAGGCTTTAAGTCCTTAGTGATTTGTTCCAATGGTATTAATTGAGCAATCTGTTGTCCTTTAGTAATTTGGATTGGTGGGAAAGGGGTGTATACCATAATCATAACTTCCCCAGTGTAATCTGCGTCGATTATGCTGGGTAATACGAAGAGTCCAAGCATTGAAGCAGATGATCTCCTCAAGAGCAATGCGCCCATTGCTTGTTGATTTATTACGATGGGTCCTTTAATTCCTGTGGGCACTTTTTGAGGATGCGGCATCATCAACGTTACGTCTATTGCAGCTGCCAAGTCCAAGCCGAGGCTTCCGCTGGTGGCGGGGTGGAGACTGCTGAGGTTGACTGGGCTGCAGCGACGACTTGTGTCTGAGCGCGGCCACTTCGATTCTGCGCGCTCGTGTTGGGGTTTCCCGACCGTTTTCGACACGCGTTCGTATTATGATTATTTGTCCGACACTTTTGGCACCAGATTCCAGTGGCGCGGCACTCTCGGCGAATATGTCCCATGTTGCCACATCGATAACACTGCAGTCGTCCCTTTTGCAGAGTTTCTTGAACAATCATGTTTGCCGATTGGAGGGGTGCAAGAGCGGCTAACACCTGAGTTTGGGTAGATTTTGCTTGTTCCTTTAACCCTAGTCCTAATTCTTTAATGGCTTCTATTAGAAACACTTGGGAACCGATTGGTACCTGGGCCATTCTCGCTAGAGCCTCTTCTATGGACCAATTGGCTCCCAAGGTACTCAATATGTTTTGTGTAGTCTGATTACAATTTTGGAGAGCACATTGTTTTAGCAGAGCCCCTCGCATATATTCGGGAACTCCAGCCCTTTCTATAGCGGCAGCAGCTTTGTCTATAAAGGTACCAAATGGTTCGTCCCTTCCTTGCTTGATCCCCATATATACCGGTACTCCTCCTGGTTCCTTAACTTTGTCAATAGCATTTCTGATGAGCCTCATTGCTTCCCGACACTTATCAGGTCCTATCAATGCTTGCGCTTCCGTACGAAGGAATGCTCCTAATCCCATTAACTCCTCTACCATTACTCCTTGTAAAGGATCTCCTGGTTGCCTTTGGGTGGCTACGCTCTCATTAACTAGTGCTTGCCAATGTGCATTAAAAAGTAACTGTTGATGTTGCGTAAAAATCAACTTTACTATTCCTCTACAATCTGCAGGCAACAGTATTTGAGTACTCCAAATATAATCTAACATTTGTTTTACTGGTTCGCTAGTCACTCCAAACTGGCTAACAGTCGACCGGAGTTGAGAAAGTAGCTTCCAGTCCAAGGCTGATATTGCCGCGTTTAAGCCTCCCCCCGGTATGGGCTGGTATATTACCGGGCAAGCCAATAGCTTTGCTGCCTCCACTGCGCCTTCATCCCCTTTTTCCAAACAGTCCTTGGAAAGTGCCACCCAAGCCTCCCTTCTTTCCTTGGCAATGGCCTCCGCTAGGTCAGTATCTGCCCCAGGGATCGGCTCACTGCACGGGGGGGCCGGCGGTGGTGGCGCACTTGGCCACGACTCTCCCTCCGGAGGGGGTGCGGATGGCACACACGGTTCCTCTACACTAACATTTGGCCACGGGGGGGGCAAGATAACTTGGGAGACGGCCGGTGCCATAGGAGTGATCTGGAACCAGTCTTTATCATAGGTCTTATTTTTACCTTGTGCTATTGTTGCCTGTTCTGCTGCTTTCTTTTCTGCCTGATGTTGTAACAGTTCGTTATGTATCACTCACCATAACTTTCCCAATTTTTTGGCTGTCTTATCATCTTCTAAGGTAGCCTCCCACAACTTATCACTAAATTTACGCCACTCAGTTAATTCATGTATGGTATGCGGATTTTGAAACATTCCTTTCGCATATCCATAAGACAATAACCCTGGTAATTCCTTTTGCAAATCTATCCCCTTGATTTGCCGTATTTGCAGAAATACTGCAAATAAATCATATGCTGCTTGCCTTTCCATACCTTTATCGTCAGCGCTGTTGCGGCCCTCCAGGCTTCGGCAGCACGTATCGGTCGAGCTCGTCTCTACGGTCACTCGAGGCGCGGTGCACGTCTTTAAGATGTTGCACTTTCGCCATCCCTGCCGCTGTGGGACCCGAACTTCTTCGTCGCTCGACTGTGGCGCCTTTGTCAGTCGGGGTCACCATTTGTCGGAGTCGACGGGAGACAAACACATCCGATGATGATCAGTAAGTCTTGTTTATTGCGCAGTTCTTATTGCTTATATAGACAGTATTTGCCAATAATCCTGAGACCACACCTTTTCTACACCATTATTGGATGATACATATGCTTGTCATATTTAACAGCTTATTTCAAACAGACACCCGCCTGGCGAAGCTCTGCTCTAAGCAAACACTACTCCCTTATCATACTGCATAGTTTTCTTATCCTTAACTTCAAAGGCGTTCTGCCCTTGAGGCCTAACTTTCGAGCTCCAGTCTTTATTTACACAGGGTTTTCTTCGTGCAGTCTCTTCAAGGATCTGCACTCCAACACTCTCCCAAGTTGCACACCTACAATATGTCTCTTTTTTGAGATAAAGGATAAAATAAGATTATTAGTCTCAGCCATGAGTTATACTAGAGCTGGAGTATCTCTCTCCACTATCTTCTCGCTCTCCTCACTCTTCTTAAGTGTTTCTTATTTGTTTATTCCCCATTCCAGGTGAAATCTCTGTGAAACTAAACATTCATTCTTTCCTTGCTTAAGTCACTAGGAAATCTTAGTTTCGCTTTGGGATGGGACTTTGTTCTCCTTGTGTGGCAGCTGAGCACTGATGATTCTTGGGATAAGTTTCAAATGACAAAAGCATGTCACTTAGTCTTTGATCTTTAGTTTCAAGCACTGATGGAAAAGTTGTAATTATCCGCTGGTTTTGCTAAGTATAAACCCATTAAAAGTAAGAATTATATTGCACAAAAGTGAAACTGCTAATGCAGTAACTGAGCATCATTTTGTAAAACTGGACAAACATCCTGCCTGTATTTTATGAAGACTTTTTTTCACTTTTCTGTTCAGCTGATTTATACAATCAGTTGTGTTGAAGGGTGCCTGAACTTACTTCCTCTTTCCTTTTCAGCTTCCTTATTTTAGCTCAGATGGTACTTTACTTTAAATCACATAATATGGTAAAAGGTCTGTTATTTGACCTGGGACTAGGGTCACACGACCAATCTTAGCTAGTCTAAAATTAAATGTAAACAAATCTAAAATACACTGAATAATTTTCAACTTAAATTTAGGAGCTGCCAAATAGAACAGTACTTTATTATTGCACAATAAAACACAATTAGAATAATGACTGTTAATGATTTAAGGTGTTTGTAAAACGAATATACCAAACCTTTCATTCCACAATACTATTATTGTAGCTGTGCCTTATTTGTGAGGACTCGAGGAGGCATTTCCTATTTTGGTTGATTTACAGTCTTATAACCTCACAAATAGTAAGAAATTTCCAGTGATGATGGCACAATATATGGAAAGGACAAAATTATTTTAAAAATTGATCATGTTTCACAAATTGCCACTTCTACTCTAAAGTCAAGTATTTCCTGCTTCTGCAGAGGTTTTTTTCCCCTCTTAACCATGATGACTATATTTAGAGAGCTGGCTTTCCAATTATACTTGTATAATTGGACAGGGTAATTTTTACCACGGAATTCATTATCTAGGAAAGCTGATTTTTAAAAAAAAAAAAATCATCGACGATGATTTTAGAGACACAACCTATACAAACTGAAATATCAAGATTAAATTGTTTATTTGTAGGTTTGTTTTTTTGTTGTTGTTTTATCTTTACTTGGTTCAAATCTATAGCTGCTGCAGCTCTGGCAATTCCCTGATAAATTTCCATGAAAGAGTAAGAAAGGCTAGGAAGCATTATATGTCTTGAGAAATACTCCATTGGGAGGCACTGTGGATTCTTTGAAACACACCACAATTGCTATAAATTAATCTAGCTTCCCCGGTGAAGCCTTGTGAGCTGCCTCAGTACTATATTCGCATCTGTTCCAGAATGCTTCCAAATATCTCTGATACTAGAAAGGTATCCAGATGTACTTATTGTATCACATGTCCTAAGAACACCTGTGGTTGTTTTTCTGCTAATCTGGCATGGGATTAATTCACATTCAGATCTTGCTTTGATGGATGTGTGTGATGAGCAAGATGGTTCAAGAAAGTCAACTTAATTTAATTACTGTATTTCCTTTGACGCGACCAGAAAAGTGTCCAGGTTTTAGCTGGGACCCGCGGTGGGGCGCGGGACATGTGGCATACAGAAGCCCCCCCTCCCCGGCGGCACTCTCGGGGGACCCAAGTCCTTGTGATCGAGGCCGCAGCCCGCGGACGATGTGGGCCGGCTATGGCCCAGTGGTTACTTCGGCTGCATTGTGTCCTGCCTTCATGGTGCCCAACGTGGGGCGGGGATTCGGCTTGAACTCTCGCTTTTATACTGGGCATGATGCTGCATGATATGGAATACTAATTGGCCAGTTTGGCCCTCAATCTTCAGTTCCACCACAAATCACAAGGGGAATAGTGTCCCCCTTGTCCCAGCTATGCTCCCCCCTTATCCTGCC